ATTCATTCGTATCATTCATGTCAAACGGCCTTTGGCTCATTCATTCTTCTATTCATGTCAGACTGGCCTTTAGCCTATTCATTCTTTTATTCATGTCAAACTGGCCTTTGGCCCATTCGTTCTTTCATTCATGTCAAACTGGCCTTTGGCCCATTCGTTCTTTCATTCATGTCAAATTGGCCTTTAGCCCATTCATTCGCGTCATACGGCCTCTGGCCCATTCATTCATGTCAGACTATTATTCGAGTCAGACTATCATTCATGTCAGACGGCCTCCGGCCCACTCATTTGTAGCAAACAGCCTTAGGCCCAACCATATTGTATAGCAAACATTTGTGCATAATTCAACTTAACAAACTCATAAGACTTATAGAGAAATAAACAGTTGGACAAACAACATATCTCAAAATATTTTCATTAAGATATTACTCATAGTGATCGGCTGGATGATTTGCCCTGGAGCTCGACCCTACACATTCCATGAATATAATGGGTCATAAATAATCCAATTCGTTCTTAATTCACACATTCTTCCTTAGGCTTCTTTCTTATTCTTTTAATTCATTCATAATGCTCAATGCATGCCTAAGAGTACTTAGAAGTGAAAGAGAACGGAAAACGAAACACAGAACATCTTTACAAAATTTCTGAAACAGGGGTCCTCGTTCGAGCGTGGATTTTCCCGCTTGAGCAGACCCATTAGGTCTGCAAAAGTACTGGTTGTCTCATTTTTACGCTCGAGCGTGAACTCGGACGCTCGAGCTGAAGGTTATTCTACATAGCTCCCCGCTTGAGCGTGAACTTACCCGCTCGAGCGGACATCATGTCTACAAAATATTCTGGGAGCTCGTATTTTACGCTCGAGCGGCGGTTTCCCCGCTCGAGCGGAAGTCAAGAATTCTGGGTTTTCCAGAACTTGTTCTTGAGCTCAAACTCGACCTCCAAAGGTTCAAAACTCATAATTTTGGTTCCAAAACATGCAAATACATTATATATCATGAGTATACAAGCAAGATGAGGTCAATTGCTCAAAATCATGGTCCAATTCTTCAAAATAAATCAACATTTCTTGGTATAATCAAGGCTCATGCATTCAAATCTCATATGAGCTCCATATCCCCAATAATCAAACATGCATGTCAAATAGAGATGGCAATTGGAACCCGGCTCGACGGGGACCCGATCCCCCAACCCCGAATTGAGTGGTGATTCCCCGAAAAATACCCCCGACGGGCCGGGGATGGTATTAAAAATTAAATCCCCGATGATATACGGGCCGGGGACGGGGATACATGTTTCAGCCCCGGCCCGGCCCCGACCCCAACCCCGATCCCCGCCCCGATCCCCGCCCCGTTTTCCCCGATATAAAATTACTGTTTTGCCCTTATATATATATATATATAAATAACATATATAGGGTTTGGTTTGGTTGAACCAAACCGCAGCCTCTTCTCCTCCCTTTTATCTTCCTCTCTCTCTCTCTCCTCTCTCTTCTACTCTCACTCTCGCACCTCTCCGCGACGCCAATCGCCTACTCCGTCGTCCTCCTCCGTCGTTCGTCGTCCTCCGACGCCGATCGTCCTCATCCGTCGTCCTCCTCCCCTGATCGTCCTCCACCGATACAGATCTTGTTTTGAAACAGATTTTGTGTGGAGGGTTTGTATGAAATACCATTAACCAAACCAAACCTCAGCCTCATGCCCTAGGGTTTGGTTTTGTGTAGAGGGTTTGGAAATACCATTAACATATGTGTATTGGGTTTGTATGTGTATGCATGTATACAAATTTATTTTTTTTGAAAGAATACAGATCTGTTTGTGTATGTAATTTTTTTTTTTTTGGAACAAATACAGATCTCTGTAACAGATCTGTGTGAATTTTTTTATTTTTTTTGAACGAATTTTTTTTGTGTAGAGGGTTTGTATGAAATATCATAACAAAACAAATCTGTTATTATTATTTTTTTAATCTGTTATTGATTTTTTGATCTGATGGTGGTGATGTTGTTTTTTGATCTGTTGATGAGGATCGGGGAATTTCGGGGTCGGGGAAACCCGATCCCCGTTGGGGACGGGGATGGGGACTGTGATTGGTTCCCCGTCGGGGATCGGGGCCGGGGAAGGGGAAGTTTTGGCCATCAGGGATCGGGGACGGGGAGGGTGATCCCCGGCCCGGCCCCGCCCCGTTGCTATTCCTAATGTCAAAAATATGGTGCAAATGGTGTTCATTCTCATGAAACTCAACTAAAACCATGCTTGCATGTATGATTCAACCCACAATCTTTCATAATTCACATATTACATGCTAGATTATGTAATTTCATAGGAATTCTCTACATGCATGCACACATAGACTTCAATCTCAACTTATGTCTCGTTTGGCAAGAGACTATTTTAGCCAATTAGCCAAACAATTACTAAATTAGCCAAAAAGCTAACAACCCATACCAAAAAGTCAAAGATTCTCTTTTCTCTCTACTTTTTGCACATTTTTTCGTAATTAGCCAAAAAGTCATCCCAAACATACAAGTTTTTTTTACCTACTTTTTTAGCCAAATAGCCAAAAAGTTACTAAATTAGCCTGTTCCCAAACGAGGCCTAATCAACTCAATTCATGATCTAACTCATCATTTAATCTTCAATTCACAAAATCACAATTTAAACTCATGAATTAAGGGTTGATTACTCACCTAAAGGCTCAAATTTTCCAATTTATGCTCAATTCTTGAGTGTAGCTTCAAGATCACCAAGTTCCTTAGCAAATTCTTCAAGATTGGCCCTTCTCTCTCTCTAATTTCGGTTCTCTCTCTCTAGAGAGCAAATTTAGATTCTTTGAGCTCAAAAAGAATGAGCTTAAGGCCAAGTTTGGCATGTCTTGAAAAAGATAAAAAGTCAAAAAGTCACTATCTTATTTAAGTCACATCACCTCTCTAACACATCACTTCAAACCCAACCTAAACCCAACCCATATTTCATAAAAAGTCAAAAAGTGCACTTATTTTGGGTTCATATATAGGCCCCTCTAATCACATTTCATTAATATTTAAATAATTGAGCACTAATCTATTAATTTAACCTAATTAATTTGATCCGATTTAATTTTCAATTAAATTTCACCGTAGGCTCTAAAAATTACGCCAATCACAATGGCGCAGTCAATTTCGGTTTCTGTGGCCGATAGGGCCTTCAATTTAAATTCCAAAGCAGATAATCAAACAGATATTCCTACGGTGAACAGATCGAAATTCAAAACCACATGTTTTCATATAAATGGCATACAGAATCACATCAAACACATAATCACATTCATAATAAGGGCCAATTAGCATAATATGGAACAGGGTTATCACACTTTTGAGTCTAGGCCCGAGTAAGTCTCTAAGTTCGTAGACTCGAACCCTTTCGAGGCTTAGAGCAATTCGGCCCATTTGATGGCGATAAATCCGGGCCCGCCAATCTTGGACTTGCAATAAATTCGGACCCACTAATCTTGGACTTTTTGATTGGGCTTAATTAATTAGTGGGCTCAAGTTAACTCCTTTCACACCACATTGTGGGTGCACTTGCTGTGTTTGTGTTTGGATTATTGATCTAAGGGATTTATAAAGGGAAAATAAGAAAAAGAAAAAGTGAAAAGTGAACAAAATTTAGGATCTGTTTGATTTAGTTTTAAAATTATGATTTGAGTATGAAATTGTAATTTAAGTATGGAGTTGTGAGTTAAGTTTTGAAAAGAGAAAATTTATTTGGTTATAAGTTTTGAGAAGTGTTTTAAAAGGAGTTTTGAGTTGTGTTTTGAAATTTTTTCGATTTATCTTTTTTAAATATTTAAGAAATTTTTTTTTTTTTAAATTTTAAATATATAATTGTTATTTGAATATTTTTTAATTTCAAATATTTTATTTTATTTTGTAAATATTTTGATTTTTTAAATATTTTAAACTCAAAACACAATTTCATACTTAAATCACAACTAACACATGAGTCAAAACTCAATTCAAAAATTACTTTTTAGAATTCATAACCAAACACATAACACATAACTCATAGCTAAATTATTTTCAAAATTCTATTAAAAACAATTTTCAATTTTTTTAAAATTTTTTCCTTTAAAATTATTTTTTATTTTCTATATTTTTTAAAATTTTTCAAAAAATATTTTGTTTATTTTTATATTTGAAAAAAAATATATTTTATTTTTTTAAAAAAATAATTTTTGTTATTTTTTTGATTATTGACCAAATAATTGGTTATGATTTAGATACATATGGCAATCTAATTTTTTTAAACTTAAAAAAAAATTATTTTTAAAAAAGTATTTAAAATATTAAAATATTTAAAAATATATTTATACAATAAAATAAAGTATTTAAAATAAAAAATTATTTTTTTGAATTTTTAAATATTTACAAAATATTTTTAAAATATTTTGTTTTTTAAAAATACAACACACAAATGTACGAAATACAGTGCACATAAAAATAAATAAATAAATATTTAAAATATAAAATATTTATTCTAAAAAATAAAATTAAGAAAATTTTTAAATTTTTTTAAAAAATAAATCTAAAAAAATTTAAAATACAACTCAAAATTCTTTTCAGAACTCATAGTCAAATAAATTTTTTCTTTTCAAAACTCAATTTAAAATAAATATTGGTTTTAAGTTTTGAATTGAATTTTGAATTGTATGTTTAGCTATGTGTTTTGAAAATAATTTTTAAATTGAATTTTGAGTTGTATATTTGATTGTAAATTTCAAATTTTTTTTTATAAAAATTGTAATTTCAAAAACCAAACATGAGCTTAGGCGTCTGACATAATAAAAAAAATTTCAAAAGCCATTATCCTATTTAAGTCACATCATTTATCTACTACATCATTTCAAGTCCAACCTATACTACATAAAAAGTCAAAAAGTACACTTATTTAGTTTATCCCAAACAACCACTTACTATTTATTTTTTCTCTTATTTTTAAATTTTTTTTTATTTCACTCCCTCCTCACATTCTTCGGATTTTCAGGTTATACAGAGTCTACTATAAACTAGGGTTGAAAATCAAGTTCATGAAGTTTAGTTTGGCAAAATTTAAAACAGTATGGGTTCACAATGCAAAAGTTTTTCTGTCAAGATTCTTCATCTGCTGTGTGCAGATTTTGATTTTCAAGAAAACCCAGAAATGATTTTGGGTTGTTCAAATTCATTGAAACCTTTTCTTCTGTGTTTTAACTTTTTGAGATTCCTGGGGAATCTTTTGGGATTTGGAATTTGATTTTCTGTGACAGATTGGAATTTGTTTGGTTCTAGGCTTTGAAGAAATCGTGGGATGTTTCTGTCCATTTCATTAAAGATAAAAGGACCTATGCTTAGCTTTTTCCATGCCTTGTTCACTTTTTCGTTTCCTAGCTTAGCTGGAATTCACAGTTTGAAAAAGTGCAAAAAATTATATTCAATTTTTGTTTTGAAGTATGAGTGTCTGTGTCTCAAAGTACTTGCCCATTTTCTCAAACCAAAGTTTGAATCATTAAAATAGCATATAGAAACCATCCGGCCCTTGCCTTTTAGAAGTGCATTATAGGGTTATCCTTTTGGGCATTTGTGTTCTCTGAATTCCAATAGGCTTGTCATGCATGAATAATGATACATAAAATTTCTTTGTTTGATCTTCTCACAGACCCTTCTTCATTCCATTCACTGGTACGTTCACTCATCCGACAAAACTGTCTTATCTTTTTTTTTTGTTAAGGATGCTTAGCTCTCTTGCCACATGTAATTTCTGTTTTGATGCTTACATCTTATTCTAAGGGCGGTTTAGCGCAAACAATAAGGCTTGTCGTTAGCGTGTCTAGTGCTATAGGTTCTAGCGTGGGTTAAAGTCATGAAAAGAGTTTGGCGTGGGTTCAAGTCACAAAAACCTCCCTTAAAAATGGAGGTAAGAGTACGTACTTCTTTGCCTCTCTAGATCCCGTTTTAGCAAGAGTCTTGTGTATTGAGTTGGCCTTTTTACGAATATATGTTTGTCATCCACAATGTATACTTCTTGTCACTGATTATGGGTTAATTTTTTTATTTTTCTTAATTTAATTGCCACTAGTTGTGTGAACTTTATTGAATTCTGGGTTTCTTATTTGCACACTATTTCAGAGGCTGTGTAGGTGCATTTCAGAATTGAATCCAATCCCGGCTCTTCCAGAGAAACTGAAAGTGTTTGTAGCTATATGGTTGTTAAGGGCTTCAAAAGAGTAATGCTTGTTGACAATGCTATTGTTCTGGTGGCGACATCTTCCCCTGCTTATACTGATTCAATTTTTGGAACCCTTTAGGCTGACCCACAAACTACAAGGTTTGTTTTCTTCTCTTTTCCTCTGGAGATTTATTTACTTATTTTTTATGGTATGGCAATATGAAAACATTTTTAACATAGATTTTACTGTGTGTTGATTTAGTAAACAACTGAACCAACAGGCCTGGCCTATTAATCCAGAATACTTGTACCTCACTCATGGCTGGCCCTGTGTTATTAGGGGCCTAAGTATTTTTTTAATTGGACCCTTCATATATCATTATCCAAAAACAAAAACAAAAAAGTGTTTGGATAAAACAAAATCAAGACATGGAAAATCATTACAAGAACTAAAAAGGATAAAAATATAGTTCTATTGCTTTATGATTTAACAAAATTTAGATAACAAAAAAAAAAAAGAAAACATAAAATAGTTGAATTTCAATTAGTTGAATCAAATATTTTATTTCTTAGCTTACCAATGCTATAAGAGCTAAAACTAATTGGGGGTAAGGATGAAAATTTTCGACACAAGTCAAGCATTATATAAAATTAGCAAGTTAGGTTGACCATTTTTTTGACATGAATTCAAATGTGACATGAGTCAATAACATAAATTATTAGTTATATATTTTAATGTTTACTAAGGGGTGTTATGACAATTTTTTTAATCTTTTATTTAACTCCATTTAACTAAAAAAAAAGTATGTAAAATAATAATTTAAGGCTAATATATTTTTTCATTTAAGATATATATTTTTTGTTACTTATTTTAGAGTCAATAAAACCAAACCAAACCATGCCTTAAATCCCATTAAATGGGGTCGGTTGTATGAATTCTTATTCTCCACTCGACTCTATCCAAGGCCATTTTGTTAGTCAAATTAAAGAGATTTATATTTCTATTTACTACACTAGTTCACGTTAATCTATGTCTACCCTTTCTCTTAATCCTACCATCTACTGTCACTGTGTCGCATCTCTTCACTACTACCTCTGTTGATCTCCGTTGTATATGACCAAATCATCTCAATCTATTCTTTCTCAACTTATTTTTGGTACAACCCCTACCCATTCTCCAATATACTAATTCCTAACTCTGTCTTTTTTAGTCTTGCCATAAATTCACCTTAACATTCTCGTTTCAACAACACTCATCTTATCTACATGTTGTTTCTTAGTTGCCTAACATTCCGTCCTATACAACATCATTGGTTTAATAGCCGTTTTATAGAACTTCCATTTTAGTCTAATGGGTACTCGTTTTTTGCACAGTACTTCAAACTCACTCCTCCACTTAAGCCACCTGGCCTTAATTCTATGGATCACATCCACTTCAATCTCCCCAGTCGTTATGATAATCGATCCCAAATTACAGAAGTAGTTCTTGGTTCTTAATTTTCACTTTTTTTCTGCTTCCATTGTGACTATTACTAAAATTACGCTCTATATATTTTGTCTTAGTTATATCTATCCTAAATCCTTTAGATTCAAGTGTTTTTCTCTAAATCTCCAACTTAGTGTTAACTTCTTCTTTAGTCTCATCCACTAACACAATATTATCTGCAAAAAGCATACACCATGATACATCATCCTAAATATTCCGCGTTAACTCATCCATAACTAAAGCGAAAAGATAAGGACTTTAGTTGATCCTTGGTGTAACCCTACAGTAATTGAAAATTTACTCGTATCTCCAGTAGGCGATCTAATAGTGGTCACCACACCTTAGTACATATCCCTAATCACATCAATGTAACATTTTGTCACCCCTTTCTTCTCTAACACCCGCCAGATTATATTTTGAGGCATTCTATTATATGATTTTCAAGATCGATAAAAACCATATGAATGTCTCTTTTCTTTTCTCTGTACTTTTCTATTACTCCCCTCAAAAGATAGATTCCATTATTGACTTACCATGCATAAACCCAAATTCATTCTTTGACACCTCTGTTATATCTCGCAATCGACGTTCCATCACTCTCTCCCATACTTTCATTGTGTGACACATTAACTTGATTCCTCTATAGTTGTTGCAATTTTAGAAATCTCCTTTATTCTTATATATTGGCACTAAAATACTCTCCCTTCACTCCTCTGACATTTTCCTAATCAACAAAATTTTGCTAAATAGCCTAGTCAACCAAACAAACTCCTTCTTACCCAAACATTTTCACGCTTCAATAGGTATATCATCGGCTTCTAAAGCCTTATTCGATTTCATCTTCTTAAGTGCAAACTCCACTTCAAAGTCCCTAATCCTAAGATAAAACTTATAGTCCTGGTTTTCCTTATTATTCCCTACTTCCTCCCCTTTTGACCTACCTCCATTTTCTTCATTTAACAACTTCTCAAAATAGTTGTTCCACCTCTCTTAATCTCTTCATCCTTCACCAACACCTTAGAATCCTCACTCTTGATGCACTTAACCTGATTAAAATCTATTGTTTTCCTTTCTCTTATCTTAGCAAGTTTGTATGTCCTCTTCTTTCCCTCATTATTATTTGTTTTTGCCCAGTTAGCCAAGTTGAACGAAGTTATTTCAAAATTTTGGTACTTTTTAAAGCATCTGATAGCATGTTCTTAGCACTGAATCCATGTCTTTCTACATATAGGATGGCTGGCTCACTAATGATTTTAATTGATTTGTTTTTCGTTCACATGACGTTATATGCATGATTGCAAAATATGGCTTGCTAAATTGCCTTGGTCTGCATCATCTATACTGAACAAACCAATTTTTTATCCTGTTTCTGACGAAAAAATTTCCCACTATTTCATCAAGAAATAAACATAGAAGGATACTTAAAAATCATTTGCTTGTTTCTATTATTGTAGCCGAAGCTTTACTTGCTTTCAAGAGCACAGTTGGCAATTCTCTGCACTTGGCTGGTAGAATCAGGAGATATCCCTGTGTGGGACAACGGGAATGCATTTATCATCACAAACGGAAAGACCTGGGCGTTGTTTCTTGGTAAACTTTTCTTTTTTCCTCCCTCTCCGTGCGTACTGGTAAGGGTTGTCTGTGATTGAAGAAGAAAATGCATCAGTTACTCTCATTTCATAAGCAACATCAAATCCTTTTGATCCCAAGTAATTGGGATTGGATAGAGGAATTTACTTTTCATTTAACTTTCTAAGACCGTACTTCAGTTGAGTAGATAACAGGCCATCGTCTTTGTTTCTTTTTGTTTTATCATGCATGTTGTTTTAGGTTTGAATAATAATAATTTGAAATTTAAACATTGATAATTACTATGGAATGTGGAGAGAGAAGCCACATATTTGGAAGAAATAACAGAGAAATAATGAAAAATGCTTGGTACTGTAGAAACAGGTACAGACAGTAGGCATTGCCAGTATGCAAGCAAGAACCATATACACCCATATACACGAGAACACAGACATTGTGGTTTAACTAGTTTTTTGTTGTTACATAGTAACAAAACTATTTTTTATCCTTTGCTCGAGTCTTGGAGAACTAGACCATGTTTGTTTCCACAGTTATGTGTTTTGTTGATGTCAATTGCTGTATCTATGCTGGACAATGGAGGCAAGAACTCATTTTACGTCTTTGCTCAAAATCTCAGTGAATGTGAGAGGATACATTTTTTGGTTTATAGTGATAAACTCAATCAAAATTGTTATAGTAGATACTCTTCTCCATCTTATTTGTTCAACCATTACAATTGTATATAGCAATGTGGTCTTTCCTTTATATTCTTTTTAATTTTACAAACAATTGTAATAATGTCCAGGATACTTCTTCTATCAGGTTTCCCAGATTCTATCCACTTTCTCCACATATCAGAAAAATTAATTTATCTCCTTCTGAACCATCTTTGTCTCTCCTACATTCTTCGTCTCAATTAGAAGTAAAGTTCTATAGATCGAGGAAAACAATAATAGCAGAGACAGTTGGAGGGGATAGTGGTGTTCCAACGCTCACACCTTTGCAAGCAGGAAATGTTGAGAAACCAAGTAAACAGAAGGTAGCTGCAATTGTAGGTGGAGTTGGTGCAGCTTTGCTTGTGGTCATCACTGGAGTGATTGTCTACTTCTGTTTGATGCGTCTCAAAAGCCTTATAAGGGGAGCATCTGATACAGCATCTTCCGTGCCATCGCCTCCTGGTAATTCTTGTAATCAACACTGTTACTTTCCTGCATGGGAACACTACTAAATATTGAAATTCTTGTTCCGAATACCCAAAATAGTGAAATACTGATGATATATCATATAATAATTCTGATATAGACACACACACCTTTGATCAGTTGCCACCTCCTTGAACATGCAATTGAATGGTCAGGGATGTCATATCTATCTGCTACCTTAGCGACTTTTTGGAAACCAAACAATTTTGGCAGATCAAACATGATTGTGGTCCATGCTGAAGTTATAGGTGTACTTTATATTTGAGGCAACAGGTTCAATTTGTTTCTGAAAAATGCCTTTTTCCAACATTACTTAGTTTATCAAAAACTCAGTTGCTAACTAGGATATCCTCTATTGAACTATTGACTGTCCTAATGTGTTGTTCTACCTTTATACTATTGTCTTGTAAATGGACCTTATTGACTGTGTTGGGTACACAATGCTGCTCCCTACGACCGCTATAAAAGCAGGCCTGCCGGTGCGATGTCGAATGTCATAAAATACATAAGTGAAGCCCTCCCCAATACTAATTGGTTTTAGGCAAGATTGTAGAACTCAGTCCGACAAGTGGTATGAGAACTGGATTGTCATGGGTTCGAGTTGTGGGAGCGTCGTTGTGAGAGAGGGATTATTGGGTACACAATGTCGCTCCCTACAACCGCTCTAAAAACAAGCCTGTGGGTGCAATGTCGAATGCCATAAAAGACATAAATCTAACACCAATTGGTTTTAGGCAAGATGGTAGAATGTAGTCCAATAGGCTGCATGATTTGATGGTAAGAAAAGGTTTAATGAGAAATATGTGGAATGGATTGGAATCGAAGGGTTTTGCAGTTTCTTGAGTTTCAGCTTTTTGTCTATGTAAGAGATGGCTCCCGAAGTAAAGGATTAATTTCATAGGATGGATGTGTTTGAAAATTCTTTGTTATTACGTGAAACTATCATACATGCCCTTATTCATATATGATCTGGTAAGTGATTTATATATCATGGTAGGATGTTTAAATGAGTTTGGACAATCCGACTTTTCCCTTTTAGTTTTGACAGCGGAAAATTTTCTCAGAAGTGCAGGGGGGATTTGGAATCAGATGGTCCCAATTTTTACCATAAGGCCTGTCACACTTATTACCCTTTGGGCGTGTAATTGCGATGCATGGTGCTTTGCCATTAAAATTAAGTTAATGGTTTGGATGCTAGATTGGTTTTATTTATGGGTTTGCATTTTCTTTTGTCTTAAGTTGCATGGGAAATGGAAAATATTCCCCCCAGTGCTGGTGCTGTCTCTCCCTATGATACATGTAATCTAAGGCAGTTATCAATTCTGGAGCTTGAGCATGCTACGGGCAACTTCAACCAAATTAATATTATAGGTGAAGGTTCATTTGGTTTAGTTTACAAAGGATTACTAGATGATGGATCAGTTGTGGCTATCAAGAGACACCTGCACTACCCTGTTCAATATTTTTTGAATGAGGTAAAAGCTTTTATCTTGTCACACTTTTCAATTAATTCCTTTATTTTTCCAATTGTGACACCAGCACACAGCCATGATTATAAAGATACTGGTTTCTATTGGATAGCTTAATATACATTGTTGGGTCTTTTTCCTAATAGCTTAAGCTTTTAGGACAATTGGTGATTTAACATGGTATCAGAGCTTATTTTGTGCCCATTTGTATTATGCTTTTGTATTTGGTTGTCTGTTTGTCTCTTCACGTGTAAGATGGGATTGTACATGAGAGAGGGTGTTGGATAGCTTGATTTACATTATTGGGCCCATTTCCTAACAGTCTATGCTTTTGGGATGATTGGTGATCTAACAATTTCCTATATATATATTTCGTATAATTTTGGTGTAATTGAAATAGAGCAATGTGAAAACAAAAATCCTGCAATACTTTCCCCCTTGTCAATAAAAAGTTATTTTCTACTTTTTTTCAAAACTTTTTGTATCAAAATTCATGCTTGTGCTGACAAATCTCAATGCAATTCAGGTGAAGCGCATAGCTCGTGTTCACCATAAGCATCTGGTCAAGCTTATTGGTTATTGTGAAGAAGACCATCAACAGTTTCTTGTCTATGATTATCTTCCCAATGGAAATGTTGGGAATCATTTATATGGTACTTTCTTTCTCTCCCTCTCTCCCTTTATTTATTCATATATTTAGTTGTGCATCTCTATATAAATATAGTTGTTTTCTTTAGATAGTGAAGGTTTACCTATTGGAAAGCTTGAGATGCGGCAAAGGCTATTAATTGCTTTGGGTGCAGCAAAAGGTAGTAGATACAATGTTTAGTTCAGTTCTACTGATTGCAATAAACATGAGAATATTTGATCCATCAAATTCACATTTTGGATCAGGACTCGAGTATCTTCACTCTTTGACACCTTCTATCCTACACATGCATTTCAGAACAAGAAATGTCCTCGTGGATGAAAATTTTACTGTGAAAGTTTCTGATTTTGGACTCTCAAAATTGCTTGAGGGTTATCATGCTGAATCATCTTCAGCATTTGACTTCTTTCATGACCCAGAGTATGTAATCTCCATCCTTTTTTTTTTTTCCCCTTTCCTGGTTATAATGTCGTATATTTTGTGTAGTGTATGTTGCACACAAATCATATCATTCAAATTGTTATATGTCACTATACTTGTTCATTCATTTATAGAAGCATTCTTTGAAATTATTAATATTATTTTTTTTTAACAAATCTTTATAACAACCCGTAACCCTTAACAATACCAAGTTCACCTTTTATTTGAGAGTATGGCTTTATTATTATGACAGCGGAGATTGGAAAAAAGTATGGAATGTATTGCTACCAAATGTGACACATTTATTTTAAAAGTAATGCAGCTGTACCTTTTTTTTTTTGAACTCGAAGATGGTGTACTTTGAGATGGATACCAAATTGATTCTTTAGACTTCTGACATAAAATTCAGAAAGTTTTAGGTTCCATTTGGATGGACCGATTTCAAATGATGGGATTTGAAGTTGAAAGTTTATAAAAATACAGTAGAGTTAACTATTATGGAAAGATTACAAAACTAAAGAGAAAGATAGACTAGAGTAAGAAGAGAAGTATTTACCATGATATTTTGTACAATAATAGTCAGTATAAAGGACAATTTTTGTTTGAGATTTATTGGTAGGAATATCAGTTTAACTGGGGCTGATGAGAGCCCCTCATCCTCAAAATGTAGAAATCTATTGTGACTTAGGGCCCTGTTTGATTAGGTGGAGTATTAGTGATGGGATTAACAATCTCATGGGATAATTATGTGTGGGATTGTTAATACGTACCCTCCTTTGGTATTAAATATACTTCAGTTTTGTAGGATTAAGAATCCTATGTATTACTAAGCTGGATGCTATTTGTGTGACCCAAACGTAGGAATATGAATCTAATAGGATTAACAGTCCAATCCTATGTAGTTATCCTGGAATCGAGTATGCCCTAGAAGTCAAGTATTATGAAGTGCTTGGTTAAGTAGCTCATGCAGCTCAAACTTATGGGGCTGTTGAGACATCTGCTTTAGTTCTTAAAGCTGCAGTAGGATTACAATAGTTCGATTATTTTGAGCCAATTTGGTTATCGTCTCTGTATTTTCTTTTTGTTGTTGATCATAAATTACTTAGTTCAAGTTTTGGAGTTGATACTCTTTTACTTATATTTGAGTTAAACCTCTTTCTTTTTCTACAAGGTTAAGATTGTCAAAGGATTTTTCAGACAGAAGCGATGTGTACAGTTTTGGGGTCTTCTTGCTTGAATTGATCAGTGGACGTTACGCACTTGGTAGAAATCAATCAAACATGCAAGAAAACCTGGTATTGCAGGTAAATCGCCCAATTCTTTTCATATGTTTATTGTTGCTTTATAATTGTTGTTATATATTTTTGCCCTTGGTCTTTGTTTGCACGTTAACTATAAATTTGTTTTTCTCTTCTAAAATGCATAATCACTCCTCCCCCGCTTCTTTCTTCTTAGTATTACCACAGCAGAATTGCAATTTTGTGGGAAGTAGAGAAAGTAATTGCAAAAACAATATTCCAACCATCAAGTATTGGAAACAAGAATATTTTTTTCAAAATCTAAATCCTTGAAGCATTGGATTTGTTCCTTCCTTTATTGTTTTTGTTTTTGTTTTTGTTTTCTGCAATCCATTCACTTTATCTATGTGCAATCATTATCATGTCTTATCCGTGCACTTGATCACAATCCACACTTGTTTTTCTTGATTTCATAATTTTTTCAGTGCACTTTCTAAGAATAGTAAACGTAAATTTCATTTTGGAAAAAAAAAATGCTAAAAAGGTTGTGGAAGCTCTAGTTATTCGTTTAGCTACCATTAGGTGCTAATAAATCCATTGAATCATGCAGGCTAAGGGTATTCATGATCTCAACGATTTTGTGGACAAGACAGTAAGAGACCACACAATGCACGCAGTGAAACAAACGATGGACCTAGCGTTGCTTTGCATAGATATGAGTATAAGAAGACCTGCAATGAAGAGTGTCGTTGAAGAGCTAGAGCGGATTCAAGTGAGCGATTTTGGTAATTTGCATTCTGGTATGGGCGAAGATATTGGCATTGTTACTCTAGGTAGTGAGCTCTTCAAATAATCCCCTGGTACAGGACTCAATCTCCCCTCTCACAAATCCTTGTATCATTTTTTTTTCCTTATTGAATTCATTATTTGTAATTACAGAAATTGCAAAAGTGATCCCATTGTGAAATAATTTTCTATCGGCAAATAAATTAATGAAGCATTTGCGGTTTTAAAGCTTATGTGCATGTGGAACTAGACCGTTATTTTTTACCTTTCAATTTCAGGACGATGAGGGAGAATTACTATGCTCTAGTCACTCCTTCATACCTTCCGTTTTGTTTTTGTTTATTTTTCACCTGAAGATAGTAGACGGACTGCTAGTGAGGGGTTCTCTAATTCTGTGTTTGGTTGGGAGGTTTGAGTAGGGATTTGAAAAGAGAAACAGAAAAGATAAATGAAATGTGAATAAAATATATTTATATTTCACCTAGTTTCACACACTTTATCCCTCTATTTAAATCCCTCCCCAAATCTCTTTACCAAATGTCTTGTTGGGTATTAGGGGAGAAGAAAAGGATTTTAAGACTCTTTTAACTTTGATTTTTATGGTCTTGACCCGAGACCAAATTCGTGGAAAATATTCTTGATTTGAGTTGTGAATTTTGATATTTTTTCAAAAAATAAGTTGATCAAACAAATGGGAGAAATGGGAGAAGGCAGGGTGTGTCGTGGATGTGTTTTTTGATACAACAATGATTCATCCTCCATTTTCCTCCCATCCCCTTTGACCCCCCCTCTCTCTCATTGGTTACATTTTTTTTTTTTTCTTTTTTTTCCTGCTCCTCCAATCACCACCCACCACGTGGCAAAGGGGGGTGAGGGGGTGACCCCCAAAAGGGGGTCCCAAGCATTATTCTTTTTGATATTGTGCCCCTTATTTGGCAAGGTGAGTTATTTAAATTAATCAAAAATTCTATTTTACAAATCACTACAATATATAATACTGTCTTCCTCTGGAAAGTGGGTTGATTTTTTAGTTTTCTACCTGTTTTAGGCTGGGTTAAAAAGTCTCATTTGGGATGAGTTTTTTTTTTTTTTTTAGAGAAAAATTGAAATAATTATGGTTTGAATATAATATTTTATCTTGTTGACATTTTAATTCATTTTGTCATTTTGTGACTATTTTAATCCAATTTATAATGTCAAATGAAGCCATTCATTGACAAATGCCATATGAACAAGCACATATAAATCCAATGGTATGAAAATATTGAAATACAAGTTGGAAGTAGAGTTCCATCCATAGACAAATCACATGTAAAGAAGTATATAGATCCCAATACTATGATAGTCATGCAATACAATAAGATTTTAGATGAAAGTTGAGCTTCAAAAAGTGTTGTGGAAATCACATATCACTCTTATTGGGCTCAAGTGTTTCTCTTTCTTCAAATCAATTGTGTGTGTGTGTGTGTGTGTGTGTGTGTGTGTGTGTTGTACAACCTATCATGGGCTTTGTGGCTTTGACTTAAAAAGTCACTTTTTATTTTATTTTTTTAAACACTATTTAAGCCAACAAAATAAAATAAAAATATGTTGGTTTTCAGCTAAAAAACTAACAATTGAAATAAAATAAATAAACACTCACGCTACTTTGAAAACAACTAATTTTAATTTTTTTTTAGCAATGACTTTATTCTAGAAAACCAAAAATCGTAATAGTTTGCTTGAAAAATGACTTTTGTGAAACTTTTAAAAAGCATGAAAAAACTGATTCTAGCCCCAAATCTTTAATAAAAAATGGATGCAATATGATGGAAAATCAAAATGTGTAGAGGTTGAGAAGTAAAAGTTTCACCACCTAGTAAAATTAAATTGATGCAAACCCACATTTATGTTTTTTTAGTGAAATATATAACACAAATTTTAGTGGTGTAGCATTTAGCTATAGCAATATTAAAATAATTAAATGTAGGAAAAATTACTTAATTTAATATTAAACTATATGTTATGCTAAAGAGTGGTATTATTAGTACTCTATAAATTATTTTGGACCCGCTAGGCCCCACTTATATATTTTGAAACCTCAAAATTTCTTTTTCTCCTTCAAATAATATTAAAATTATCCTTATGAAAACATCCCATCCATTAAGTGCACACCCCACACCCAAAAAAATCCATCTTCCAAAAAACCCTAACAAAGCCCACCAAGAAGAAAAAGAGCTAATGTGATTATTGTCTCTGCTGCATTCTCTCTCCCTCTCTCTCTCTCTCTATATATATATATATATATATACATAATTTCTTCTCTTGTAGGAAAAAAATTATAATAATTAGTTTGGTTGGTAGATGTTATAAACTTGTGAGTTCAGTAAAGAGCTATGCAACAATATTATCAAAGCTACGCAATGAAGAAATAACCTTTGAACCTAATAATGGATTTAGGCTTTTGCAATTGCTAAAATTTGACCAAGAAATTTTCATGTTCGGACCTACATTCCTGAGCATTACTTATTTGTTCAGGAATGCGTTCCCGAACAAATAAGTAATGTTCGGGCCTATGTTCCCGAATTTTTGTCATATGTTCGGGAGTTCAGTATCGAAAAATGACGAACATATTTTATTAATTTTGCCATTTTTTTCAAGAAACTTATCCTAACAAAGTCAATCTTCTTTGAGCTAAGAACAACATCAAAATTATGAACCTTCTCTAAGTTTTTATTGTTGTACTCCTCTTATCTTATGGATTTGTGGTTTCCAGATAAACTTCCACTCATTGTTATTGTAGGAAAAATGTAGATAGTCAAATGGTTGCCACTGTTACCGTCGGAATATTGCCGCCAAAGGGTTTTTAAGGTTTTGAGGGTGGGTAGGTTTTGAATGTGAGATTTGGAAAAGATGGATGAGTGGTGATGGAGGTGGATGCTCTCATGAACCCTAATTCATGATGTAGTGGGTGTGTAGGTTTAATTATGAGATGCGGTGTCCCAAAATTAATGATGCCATTTTTAATAATTTTATTTGAAATTATTATTGTAACAAAAAAAAAAAAAAACATTTAAGGTTCAAAATAATTTATAGAGTGCTAATAGCAAGACTCTATGCTAAAATAGTACTCCTTGCAAATTGAGCACTGTGCTATTTTATATTACGCTTCTAACTAATTAATTTTATTTAATAAAAATCATATTTATGCATTATAATTTGAATTTAATTTATGAAAAATGCTAAAAATAGTCTTTAAGATTGTTATTAGTGTTGGAAATTATGTTAAAAAATTGTATTGAAATATATAAAAATATGTGTAAGTATCTTGAGATATTTATAAAATTTATTAAATTATAAATATTTTGACATTTTATATATATTAAAGACAATAAATTTTTAATTTTTAATTTTGTCAATTTACACACTAATCATTTGATTTGTTGTCAATTTAAACTATCTGTCTATTTATGTTAAGTAAAATCAAAGAGAAAAAAAATATTTTAATCATAAAATTAACATAAAATGATATTTTAGACATTTTATATAGGGAAATTTATTAAAAAATTATTTTTCAAGTGTTTGTATCTCAATTAGTCCATAAGATATTTTTATATTCTAATAAGTTCTATTATTTAGACATTTGATCTACCAAATCCTAGATCTCATAGTTAATGTATTTTATGGACATTTCTACCCTTACAAATATTTTTTGAACGGTTAACAATTTGGGGATGTAAATATTCATATTTGAACATTCACATTGATGGTTTGAACATTAACATTGACAATGTGAATATTCATGTTGATGGTGTAAATATTCACATCACGGAACATTCACATTATAAATGTAAATATTATTAGGAATTTTTTGATAACTATATCACCCATATGACTTATTAGAACATAAGAAAATAATATAAACTAAATGAAATATAAGTAAGTGAAAATAAATTTATGAAAAAGCGCCCATTTTATATACTCTTACGTTGAATTTAATGGCTCAAATACTATTTTTTCATCAATTTTACTTGACAAAATATGCGAATGAGTTAAATAAAAAATTATGATTTAAATTAATAAAATTAAAAACTCATAATTTATTTAATTATAAAGGTTAAACTCTAATTTTTTTTTTCATCTTTTGTGTGTAATTTTCTCAAAATTATATGTATATTTCTGGACATACATACCCACCTTGTCAGATCCTGTTTGTTTTTAAAAGTAGAATAGAAGGGATTGATAATGAGGAGATTAATAGTGAGGGATTAGTAAAATTGTATTTGTTTACATAGTGAGGGGATTAATAAAATTGTGTTTGTTTTGTTAGTGAGGGAATTGTTAAATTATTTTTATATAAAATAAATATAAAATAATAAAACAAATAAAATTATGATTTTTACTTAACAAAAAATATAAGTTGTAATAAATGCTGTGATGGGATGCATTAATGGTGATGTGTTGTGGTAATAACTCTGCAGATCTTTGTCTGCTGATGTGGCCCGTGTTCCACCTGTCATGTGCCCGAATGCCATTGGCCCCCCTGTCTAGGTGGCCTCCAGCTGTCCTGGGCTTTGCCAATCGGGTTGTGCTATTGGTCCTAAGCGATGGGTTCGGGGTGGTTTGCTGTGAGCCGTATGCCTCGTGGGCCTACCCATGTCAGTATCTCTCACTCTAAATTGCTAATACCCTCACCAAAACCCACCCATAGTCCCTTTAAACTACAAATCCGAACCTCCAAAACCAAAACATATTCTATCTTTATTGGTCATCTATCACAGTCCGGTGTGACTGTGATACCTGAAAACAAACGGCCCCTCAATAGCATATCCAGAGGGGAGTAAAACGTCGTCGTTTGGTTTTGTGTCCTTTCTCTACCTCCTTAGAACCCTGCATCATTTGGTTTTGTGTCCTCTCCCTGCCTCCTTAGAACCCTGCATCACTACCGGCAGGGTCTAGATCTCATACTCAGTCTGATTGGTGTGAACTCGCTTCCCCCAAAAAACATCAAAAACAAAACAAAAATGGCGAGTCGACTCATTCTCGTCTTCTCAATTTCATCTCTGCTTCTCTTCACCGCTCTCTCTTCCACCACCACCACCGCCGACGACCTCGACGAAGACCTCAGCTTCCTCGAATCCGATGCTGACGATGACTCCTCCGCCGCCGCCTCACCACCACCAGATCCACTCTCTGACGAAGACGATGACGACTTCGAGAACTACGACGACTTCGAAGTTCCCTCCTCAGGCTTCGATCACGAAGACGAAGCGTACTCGCAGCAACCTGAGATCGACGACAAGGACGTCGTCGTTTTGAAGGAGAGCAACTTCAGCGACTTCGTAGAGAGCAATCGGTACGTGATGGTTGAGTTCTACGCGCCGTGGTGTGGACACTGTCAGGCTCTGGCTCCGGAGTATGCTGCGGCGGCGACGGAGCTGAAGGGCGAGGCGGTGGCGCTCGCGAAGGTGGATGCGACGGAGGAGAGTGAATTGGCGGAGGAGTATGAGGTTCAGGGGTTTCCTACTGTCTATTTCTTTGTTGATGGTCAACATAAACCCTACAATGGCCAAAGGACTAAGTAAAACCCCTCTCTCTCTCTCTCCATATATATATATTTTTTTCTTTCTAAGTTCAACTGGTAGAACTAAGTTGAATGGTTTGTTTGATTTTTGAGGAATCTAAAAAAGCAGGAAGTTTTAACTCAATTGTGCTTAGTATGTCAATGTGGCATCGATAGTAAATTGGCGGAATAAGCATTGCATTTTAAAGCGTAAACGATTTGATTTTCATGAATTTGTGAGCATAAATTGAAGATTACGAGCATCTCCAACCCTTCACGAATTTTTTCATCTAATTTGATTCCAAATTTGAGTAAAAAGTTTGATTCGATATGACCCTACTCCAATCCTTTCATCAATATCTTTTTAAAATTTGATGAAAAAAGTCATCTCCTTGATTTGATTTGATGAACATTTGATGAAAGCATTGGAGATGATTTTTAAGCACTTTAAATTTGACCAAAGAAAAGGTGAAGGGTTGGAGATGCTCTAATGCATCAACAGTACTGCATTATATTTTTTAATATTTAGATGCAAATACGTTGAAATTTTTGTTGGCTTTTGTATAATTTCAGAAATCATTGTTCTTTGCAACTCGGTAATGATCTTATTGTGCCCTTACATGAAATTCATTAACTGATTCAGATGATCAGTTAATTTTAGGATGTTAAGAAACTCAGGGAATTGCAAAAGATTTTCTGTTTTGTAGTTGTTTCTGCTTGTGCTTGTTGTTGTTGTTTTGGGGAGTCATGCTTCGCTCCAGAGGCCGATAATGTATTTATTTTTAATGCAGAGAAGCAATAGTAACCTGGATAAAGAAGAAAATAGGACCCGGTGTATCCAACATAACCTCTGCAGATGATGCTGAGCGTGTATTGACTTCTGAGAGTAAAGTTGTTTTGGGCTTCCTTGAATCTTTGGTGGTAATTACTTCCTACAGCTTTGGCTTTATCAAAGGAAAGGAAAATGAAGTTACTTTTATATATATTCATTCTTATATAGATAACCAAACAAGGAAAAATATGTTTCTTCAGACTTGGATAACACTATATAGCATAAAAGTATTTACTTAAAGTTGATATTTATATTTGACTTCTGAGAGTTCTTTAGTTTTTCTGTTTTTCTTGTCAAATGGATGGAAATTAGTGTTATGGAGATTTTAAATGTCCAAAATCAGATATCACTAACCTGCTATTTTCACTGTTTTCACTTGATTAAATAAGGGCGAATTACACTAACGGTCCCTATAGTTTGGGGTTCGTGTTGTTTTAGTCCAAGACTTTTTAATTGTGACATATTTGATCCTGAATTTTGAATCTTGTTATAAATAAAGACAATTGAAGATACCATTACTTAATTTCAAGGGCAAAATTGTCAATTTGATAAAATATAAATTAATTTGACAAAAATAAACGCTAAAAAAATATTGTTAAATTTTTAAAAATTATTTCTATACGCTAAAGATAAAATTATATGAAATTGATAAATCTTTTAGATATTTATTTATTTATTTATTTTATCAAATTAATTTTTATTATAAGTTTGGATGATGATCATATAATGGGTGGTTGTTAAGCTTTTAATGTGTAATTGATATATTTAATATATGAAATATTCTTAGTTTTAGATTTTTTTAATTTAATGGATTGGTTTAATAATGACATCAAAGTTGTTGCCATATTTGACTTCTGGAAAAATAGAAACTAAATTAATGAAAACAAAAATAATCATCCATTACATGATTATCATTCAAATACATAATAAAAATTAATTTGGTAGAAAAAGTAAATAAATAAATAAATATCTAAACGATTTATTAATTTTACATAATTTTATCTTTAGTGGATAGAAATAATTTTTATTTTTGTCAAATTAGTTTATATTTTATCAAATTGACGATTTTGTCTTTGAAAAATCAAATGGTATCTTCAATTGTTTTTATTTGGAACAAGATTCAAAATTTAGGGTCAAGTGTATCACAATTGAAAAGTCAAGGATCAAAATGATACAAGTCCCAAACTATAGGGACCGTTGGTGTAATTCACCCATTAAATAATTATCACTTGTTACATAGGTGTAAATTATGGAGGACTTACGTATAGGTCCTAATAGATTGATTTATTGTCGAATAGGTATAGTGAGAATTAATGACGTTTTTTATCGAACACTATTAAAAACGTCACATATTGTTAATTTTTAGTGACAATTTAAAAATTATCACTAATTATAAGTTTTAACGACAGCTTAAAAAAATCATCACAAAAAAATGTAATTAATTTTTAAATTTCATCGACAGTTTGAAAAATTCGTCACAGGAAAATGTCATTAGTTGTAAGTTTTAGCGACAATTTATCAAAATCGTGACAAAAAAAAGACACTAATTGTTAATTTTTAGTGCCAAAAAATGTCACAAAAAATTATTTTTAGCCACAATTTTACTAGGATGTATTTTTAATAGGATTTGATGGAAATTAAGTCTAATTATTAGAATTTATTGGTAGTTTACCTTTAAATTATCAACTTTTCGGCCTTGGAATATTGCTTGAGAATTGAGATGATATTTTAGTCTAATCATCTGGACTCTGGTATTATTTTCTTGCTACTCACTGAATAATGCTACAACACCAATCCGATCCAGAGGGGATTTTTGGGTATAGATCTGACTTGTGGTTTTTTATTTTTATTTTTTCACAAAAAGCAGTTAGTGTTGTTTTCTTGCTGGCCAATAAAAAAACTTAATAAGAGAAGGATAAGAAAAATCTCTTCGTGTCCTCTCAATTTACTCTAGTGATTCTTCATCTTGGAAAGAGATCAAATTTCATTTATTGCCGTTGTTGTGACCTTAAATTGCTTTACTTAGTTAAGCCCATTTGAAAGTATTGCAAACTATATGCTGAAATACTGACGGGAACTCCTCATTTTATGAAATGAACTAGGAATTGGAAAGCTTTATTTCCCCGGATCAATTCTTGAACTTAGATTCCTATAGGTTAATGATTAGGTATCAGCAGTTACTTTATTTAATTCTCTCTAAACTCAATACTTTCGCCTCGTCTAATGTCTATATGTTATTACTCTTTTCTTTCCTTGATAATTAAAGGGTCCAGAGAGTGAAGAGCTTGCTGCTGCTTCTAAACTTGAGGATGACGTCAACTTCTACCAAACTGTAAATCCTGATGTGGCGAAGCTTTTCCACATGGACCCTGATGCTAAACGCCCCGCTTTGGTCATGCTAAAGAAGGAGGCTGAGAAATTGAATAATTTTGGTATGTTTCCCTCTGTTTTTTTCCCACTCTGGTTAGGTGTTTTAAATAATAATAATAATAATAATAAATTGTCAGGAAACATTTCCTTATCCAGATTTTAACTTATTTTGCAGATGGCCAATTTGTGAAGTCTGCAATAGCCGAGTTTGTGTCTGCCAACAAGCTTCCACTGGTGACCACTTTTACCAGAGAAAGTGCCACAGTGATTTTTGAAAGTCCTATTAAAAAACAGGTTCTGTGAATGTGTGTTTTGTTTTTTGAATATGATATATATTTATTTTGGAGCATGGTTTTAAACAATGGCATCGGAATACGTATTGGTATTGGCAATATGCTCATATGTCTGCTAATATCTGCTGATATATTAATAAGGGAGATTTGGTCAAAGTCCCCTCATAATAAAATTTTAATGTATTAAGGACAAGCATAAAAGGTTTTCTTTGAAAAGTCCAACACATACCACTATTAACAAAATATTAAACTTCAAAATAATATAACTTTTGATCTAGATGTCAGTTTTTAGTAAAATTAGTATTTTTAGAATCCTGTTATTAAGATTTATCAAATAAGATTCATGTTGACTATGAAATTTTTAAACAAAAAAAAATTATTACCGTTGAAATTGATGTAAACAGTAACATGTTACTTCGTTTGACAGTAACATATTATTCTAGTTCACAGTAACATGTTACTCTAGCAATATTTTTCAAGAAAAAAAAAGAAGATATTTTACTTTGTCGTTGTTCAATTATGCGCCTCCTTCTTAGTGGTGGGTTTATGAAGCAAAATAAATTGGATTGTCATTTTCACTAAACAATGGTCCAATAGAGGGGTTTTGGCTAAATTTCCCTACTAATTACGGTATTGATTCGAAATCCCAATACGTATCAGCCACTATTTAAAACCTTGATCTGGAGGATTTTGCAATGCCTTGGTTTTGATATTCATGTATCTGCATTTTTTTTTCCTTTTATTTTTCAGCTATTGCTCTTTGCCACTTCAAATGATTCAGATAAGGTTGTTCCAACATTTCAAGAAGCTGCAACGATTTTTAAGGGGAAGGTAACTTATGATTTTCTGGCTGATATAAGCCGTATGACATGCTTTGAAGAAAGAAAGGAATGAACATATGAAATCTTAATGTTGCAATTGTACTGACATGTGGCCATTTTGACATATTTTGGGGAATCTAAAGTGAAATGGATGGATGGTAGTTTCAAGATTCTTTGATGACTCTATAGAGTTGTGTCATCTCAGTTGATATGTGAGACCTACTTACTTCTGAAACCTGTGGCAAACCTTCAGGATTTAATTATCATTCATGTCTCAACATTCATTGTGGGCCTTAATATGTAACCTCACATTTTTTTGCTAAAGTATGAACTACTTCTGTTGCTTTCAGTCTGATGAAAGGTTAATCGATCAGTTTATGTGACCTTCAGAACTCTTTCTTGTTATGAACATTTTGGTTCTCAAGTGTTGTTTGAGTGATTCAGGCTGGTGTTGAGTAGTGAGTTGAGCGAGTAGATTTGTCTAGTCGAGATGATCTGACCCTACATTTTGGTTGATTGGATGTTACCTGTATATTGTATATAAATTTTTTAGGTCTTCGATGTTCTTCCTCCTCCCATTTTCCAACTTTAGTTACTTGCCTTCAATGGCCTTCACTCTTGGCTAATTTGCAGAGGATGTTTTTTATTTACTGATGGTATACATGCTGGTGAGTGGTGACATACATGTGTCACATTCTAAATTCTAGAAACCAAACCTATAAATTTGTTAATGGGTATTATATTTATATACGCATATGTTTTTTTCCCTGGTTACTTGCAGCTTATCTTTGTATATGTGGAAATGGACAATGAAGATGTTGGCAGGCCTGTTGCGGATTATTTTGGTGTCACTGGGGATTCTCCAAAAGTAAAGGCTTTTTCCTATTCATCACCAATTTTCTTGTATTTCTAGTGTCTTTTATACTACTGGTGGTGATTTGATATGTAGTTTGATTTAATTTTTGTTATTCCTTTCCAGGTTATTGGATTTTCAGGAAACGAAGATGCCAAGAAATACGTACTTGCTGGGGAGGTGACTCTAGATAAACTCAAGGTTGAGACTCTTGTTTCATTTTTTTGATTCCTATTTTCTACCAGTTCATTAATATTGGGTAGGAAAATTATCAAGGGGTTATAACATGGCTTTTTTATTTTTCTCTCTGTCCTTGCAAAAGGCATCATTGTAAGTGAACCTTTGTGATAGATGTCTCATGCCATCCTCAGGTGTTCGGGGAGGATTTCGTGCAAGACAAGCTTAAACCTTTTTATAAGTCGGATCCAATTCCAGAGACTGTGAGTTGTTGATTTTAATCTTCTCACTAATTGATTTGTTGTCTGATTGCTCTGATCTAACTTTATTTTTATTTTTTATTTTTAATTATATGCTATTGAGCAGAATGTTGGGGATGTGAAAATAGTGGTTGTTTTGTTGTCTGATTGCTCCAATCTAACTTTTTTTTTCTTTTTTTTAATAAAAAAAATAAAATTATATGCTATTGAGCAGAATGATGGGGATGTGAAAATAGTGGTTGGGAATAATTTTGAAGAAATTGTCTTGGATGAATCAAAAGATGTTCTTCTTGAGGTATCATTCAAACCATTGTAGACAGCTGTTTACAATTTGATTTTCTTAAATTTTCTTTTCGTACGCAGCATATTCTTATTTTCAGATGCTAAACTTTTGATTCAGATCTATGCACCATGGTGTGGGCATTGCCAAGCTCTGGAGGCGACCTACAACAAACTTGCCAAACATTTACGTGGCATTGAATCTCTTGTTATAGCCAAAATGGATGGTACCACAAATGAACACCCTAAGGCAAAGGTAATATCGGAACTAAATGTTAAATTGACTTTGTTTTAAATTAATATACTGGCTTATAATACAACTGAAAATATATATATATAGAAACCTAGATAGAGCATATGGTAAAAAAAGATGTTGATTTGTTTTATTTAACTGAGCATTTAGCTCCTGACACAGCAAAATGATGACAGTGAATTTATGTAGCTGATCCCACATGATTGGGACACAATGTTTAGTTTGATTTGGTGAAAGTCTTCTTCGTTTGCATTGACTAATCATCTTATGGGTAAATGTTTTTGACCCCTAATAAAAGTTCCCCCAATTTAACACAATGATGTGGCATGATAGGTGTTAAGTTTTGATTTGTCATACATTCAACCATATAAGACCCCACTCTCTTGCCACATCATTGTGGAGGAATTTAGGGGTCTAAATTGTGAGTCTCTAGCGTTTCTTGCATCATATGACTAATAAAACCAATTTTTGGTAAATGTTCTGCTGCTGTTGATAAATAATATGTCCATTTCCAGGTCTTCAAATGAGCAATTCCTTTGGGAGTTAGCTGAAAAGCTAACTTCTTGGCTTAAAATAAGATTATGCAAAAAGCTGATGCTAATTTTTTTTTTTTGTTTGGCACATTCCTTAGCGTTTTTAGCTTATTCTAATTGTGTTTTTTAGAGTGATTAAAGTAAGATTTTTGTCGAGAAGGGGTTTGCCAAAGGAGCTAAGATTTTTTTAGCGAAATAGACTTTTTAGCCACGACATGAAGCTGAATATAGACTGAAGGTTTTGATAAAAACTTTCTGTTTTCATTTTTGCAGGCCGATGGGTTCCCCACCCTTCTGTTCTTCTCGGCAGGAAACAACAGCTCTGATCCAGTGAGTGGTGTTCAAAATCTAATTAATAAGTGTTTTTGTTTGCTCTTCAAATGCTTTGCTTTTCTGGACCGGGTTAGATTGAATGAAGTATCTATGATTTTTGGATGTTGCAGATTACTGTTGATACTGATCGTACGGTGGTTGAATTGTACAAATTCCTCAAAAAGCACGCATCGATCCCTTTCAAGCTCCAAAAACCAGTTTCCACTACAAAACCTAAGAGCTCTGATGCCAACGAAAGCAGCAAGAGCAGCTCCAACGATAAGAAGGATGAATTGTGAGGATTTTGTCGGATATGTATGTGTGGCCCTATTATCCATAAGATAAAATGCGAGAGGAATAGTTATACAATGAAACACGAGCATGATGGAGAAGCGAGTCTAATTTTATTATCCTAAAAAAAAAAAAAAAAAAAAAATCCATTTTAGGGTTTCTTAGCTTTGAAGTTTTAAATCTAGGTTTGCCTCAAGTTTATGCGGGAAGAATGTAATATAGTTTTTTTTCCCCCTTCTCATGCCCTTTCCCTGTTAATTTTATAAAATTACTGCTGTTATTATCCCATTAAATATTTTAGACTTCTCATATCTTTGGATTCCAACTTATAAATTTTAAAACCTTTAAATTTTTTTTTCTTTCCTCAAATAATACCAAAATTATCCTTAAAACATTCCCTACCCATTTAGTTGAATACACACCCTCACACTCTAAAAAGTTTCTCTCAAAAATCCCAACAAAACTTATGAATGTGTTTATTATTTCATCTCTATATATTTATTCATGAGAAAATAAAATAAATGTAGGATTTTTTTATTGTTTATTCAAAATTCCTCTTTTGTGGGTTAATCTCCAAGAGTTTTGATTATCTATTCCTAAACAAATAAGAGATGTTCGATTACTTGTTTCCCGAACAAATGAACAATGTTCGGAATTGTGTTCCCGAATTTCGATCATATGTTTGGAAATTCAGTTCTGAAAAAATGACGAACAGTTTTATTATTTTTGTCATTTTTTTTCAAGAAACTTACCCTGAGAGTATCTCAAATGGATGGCTAAATGAGCTGCCAAAGTCATAATATAGCAGCTTGGGCAATCTTGGCTTCTCCAATGGCATGGTATAACGGCGGCCAAATTTGGCAACTGCCAAATCAAGTGCCAAATTTGGCAGCTACCAAATTTGCCAAGTCATCCAAAATTAAATTGTTTTTTTTCTTCCCTCCTTCCCTTTCCGTTGGGATTTTCCAGAATGCATGAAGTTTTATATAAAAATATTGAACAAGAATGAACAAGAATTCATCAATATTCATCAATATTTCAGAATTCATCAATATTCATCAAATTCATACCAAAAACAGATTTAAAAAATTTCATCAAATTCAAACCAGAATTCATCAATATTCAATAACAGATTTAAAAAATTTCAAGAATACCAACATAAATAATCTCAAATTAATTTCTCAAATAATCCATTATAATCTCAAATAATCCAAAGAAAAATACCTGGATTTGATGGGGGCTACGGCTTCGATCTGAAGAGGGTTGAAAAGGGTTGGAGAAGATGGTTGAAGAGAGAGAGAGAGAGAGAGAGAGAGAGAAGATGGGGGATGAGAGAAGATGGAGGATGATCATTAATCCGAAGATGAAGTGGATGATTATTGATCTGAAGATGAAGTGGAAGAGGAGGAGATGCTGATTCGGAGCTGATCTGAAGAGGATGATCATTGATCATGAATTCGGCTCTCATCTTCACTGATCTAAAGCTGATTCGAAGTTCATCCGAAGCTCTCTCCCTCTGATCTTCACTGATCCGAGAAACAGGGTTGATATGAAGCAGAGATTCGAAGCTCTCTCCCTCTGATCTTCACTCATCCGAAGTTTATTCGAAGTGTGCTCTCTCTCTCTCTGAAGTTTCGAAGCTCTCAAATTGTTAAGGGTAGATCTGGAAACTTTCCTAACTTTATTGAACTTCGAAGATCAGATTTTTCCACATGATTGATCTGAGCCGTTGATTAATAACAATCCAACGGCTGAGATCCAAGTGTGCTACTTTATTCATTAAAAATAGATAAAAATTAAATAAACACATAATTGAAACATATCTACAACGGCTCTTTTTTATGTTAAAATGGCTATAAAAAAAACGGCTCTTTTTTTTTTTCTATAAATACAAACCTTTTTTGCTCTCTTTTTACTCAATTTCATTTCACAACAAACTTTCTAAATTACATTTTTATTTATATTTTCTTTACACAATCGGTATGGAAGGTTCATCAAAAATAAAGAGAGGAAAATCATTCACCATTGCTGAAGATATGGCACTTTGTAAAGCTTGGTGTCACATTTCTGAAGATCCAATTGTTGACAATTCACAATCTTATACTCACTTTTGGGGGAGAATTTATGAAAATTATTGCTCCCTTCAGAATGATCAGTCAAGAACACAAGTTTCTATCCAATCTCGATGGGGTACAATCATGAAATATTTTAACAAATTTCGTGGATGTTTAGCGCAAGTCGAAAATCTACACCCAAGTGGGAAGTCTCAAGTTGATCCAGTAAGATTTCATCTTCATTTATTACGTTAGTTTTTTATTTTATTTTATTTTGTCTCATATAAAAATTAAATAATTACTTAATTCAATATTGATACATATTTTATTTTGGGCGAATTACACCAATAAACCCTATAGTTTGGGATTTGTGTCACTTTAGTCCCTAACTTTTCAATTGTAACACATTTAACCCTGAATTTTGAACATTGTTCCAAATAAGGACAATAGATAACTTCCGTTAGTTTTTGGATGGAAATTCCTCACGTGCAGCACTTGCCAAGGGCAAATTCGTCGTTTTGTCTTATTTCCCGCCCAAATAAATACCACAATCTTTTCTGTCATGATTCAGGGCAAGTTTAGCTTGTTTAGAGCAAAAAAAAATGGGGCTTTCACCATTAAACACAAAGTTACAGTAGATTACGGTGGGAACTATCTAAGATAATCACAAAATTACAAGCAAACGTTGGTGTTGAAGATGGGTACCCAAAGAGTTGCGAATGACATCATCTCGCTGCAATACGGTATTTTTTTTTTGTTGAAGTTTTGTTATTTTCGTTCATATTTTTGTGATATGATATTTGTTACATTATTTTGGTTTACTTTTTAAAACTATTTTCTATTTGGTGCAGTTTAATTTTGTTGATGTTTATTATATTATATATATACGAACACTAACATTGATATATATATATATATATATATATATATGTGTGTGTGTGTGTGTGTGTGTATGTGTGTGTTAATATCCCCATGTGTACTCCATTTGGAAGACAATGTTCTTTCTCTGAATGTGTGTGACTTTATTGGTTAATGTGTGTAGAAACAGAAGGATCCTTTTTCACCATAAAGTTTCACCATGGTGGGGCTTTTGGACGTGGGGACCATAGGGTCTACTTGGGAGGCCAAGTTTCTTACTTTGACTTTTGTAATGTGAACAAAATTAGCATGCTTGACATGAGGGATATGGTTCAGAAAATAGGGTATACTGGGTTTACAACCTACCAATATAAAGTACCTGGAGTGGATCTGAACAATGGGTTGAAACATATATGGAATGATAGTGATCTACTAAACATGGTCGAATGGGTGAGAGGGACAACTAGAATTATAGAAGTATATCTGGTACATTATCCAGAACTTGATGATGATACATTCCTTGTGTTTGGTAATTCATGTTCTAATTCAATACAACTGATTGAGGAGATTAATGAACCAGAGATTGATTTGCAACTTGGTTTTCACAATAATAGAGTAGAGGTTGAAGAGGGACATTTTGCAAGGATAGAAGATGGAGAAGGACATGTTCTTAGGGCAGGGGCAAGGGCCAGAGCAAGGGTTGAAGGACATGCAACAGGGGTAGGAATGGAATGGCCTAGGCAAGTCTTTGAGAATGAGATGCAAGGAGGTGGAAATGAAGATGTGCTAGAAGGGGATTTGGGTGAGGGTCAAATGCAGAGAGATGGTGGGTACATACACTCTGATAGTGAGACCATTGATTTGGAAGATTTTAAGGATAGTAAATATGATGATGATGAAGAAGATGACCTTTTGTATGAAGCTAACATCGATAAAAATTTAGAGTGGGGTGGATTTCATGAGAGGGGCAAAGGTAACAATGTCGATGATTTTAATGCTACAATAGATGGTTTGAACTGGGATGAAAGGGATGTGGAGTCAGATGAATTGATTTCACTTGAGGGGTCATCTGATGAAGATGGTGGGCCCAAGAGGGACAAGTTTCCTGAATTTAACAAACACACTGACATGGTTGATCCTCAATTCCAAGTTGGCATGGTTTTTCCATCATTTAAAGTTTTTAAACAAGCTGTCAAAGAACATGCCATCAAGACTGGAAAAGATATAAAGTTCTTGAAAAATGATAAAAATAGGGTTAGGGCAAGTTATAAACCTCCTTGTCAATGGATGATATATGCATCTAAGATACATGGCCAAATGAGCTTGTAAGTGAAAACCTATGTGCCTACACATAATTGTGGTAGCATATTCTACAACAAAAATGTGAACTCCACTTGGTTGTCAAAAAATTATGTGTAAAGCATTAAGTTCAACCCCACATGGCCAATACAATCTTTTAAACAGTCTGTTCAAAAAGATCACAATGTTGGTGTTTCAAGAAGTCAATTGTATAGGGCAAAGAGAAAGGCACAACAACTCATAGAAGGAAATTATAAGGAGCAATATGCTAAACTATGGGACTATTGTGAAGAGATTAGAAGAACAAATCCTGAGACAACCATTGTTATTAAGGTGCCAATTGATGCAGATGATGCAAATGATGGAATTGATGAAGATGATGAAGAGAGTGAGGAAAAGTCCAGGTTTTAGAGAATATATGTGTGTTTAGGGGCTTACAAGCAAGGGTTTTTGGCTGGATGCAGGCCATTTATTGGGGTAGATGGCTGTCATCTTAAAGGTCCGTACAAGGGACAAATGCTTATTGTTGTTGGAATTGATGGGAATAACACCACCTTCCCTGTGGCATATGCTGTGGTTGAAAGAGAAACAAAGAGATCATGGAAATAGTTTTTTAAACTATTACAAGAAGATCTTAGAATAGTAAACCACCAAGGATTTACCTTTATGTCTGACAAACAAAAGGTATGTTCAACAATATGCATACCATCTTATGAACTTTCTTTTGTTATGAAGTGTTTGCTCAATTTCCAATTGTGTTTGGTATGGTTATGCAATTTCAGGGTTTGATTCCAGCACTAGCAGAGGTCATTCCAAATGCTGAGCATAGATTCTGTGTAAGACACATGTACAACAACTTTCAGGATAATCACAAGGGTGTTCTTCTTAAAGATTTGCTATAGAGTGCAGCCAAAGCCTCTTATGTTCAACAGTTTGAATTTCATATGCAAGAAGTTAAAGAGGTTGATGAAGATGCATTTAAGTGGTTAGCTGAGAAACCAGCTAACTTTTGGTCTAGATCTCACTTCATCACTCACAGTAAGTGTCACATGTTGCATAACAACAATTGTGAAAGTTTTAATTCTAGAATTTTGGATGCAAGATCTAAGACAATATTACCTATGTTGGAGGGCATAAGGTGTATTCTAATGAATAGAATGCAAACGATGAGGGAAGTCATGAGGGCATATCAAGGGCCTTTGTGCCCCAACATACAAAAAAAACTTGAGAAAAAGAAGGTGAAGTCTAGTAGCTGCATTGCTATGTGGTCTGGGGCTTCTACATACCAAATAAATTGTTTCAATGGACAACAATTTGTGGTTGATCTAGAAGCTCATACTTGCTCTTGTAGGAAGTGGGATTTAAGTGGTATTCCTTGTCCCCATAGTATTTCAGCCATTTACTTCAAGCATGAAAATCCTGAAGACTATGCAGCACATTGGTACAGAAGGGAGACCTATATGGCTACTTATGAGCCCATTGTATACCCTATTAATGGTCCTGAAATGTGGCAAAAAAATAGGCCTACCTCCACTTTTGCCTCCAAAAGTTAAGAAGCAGCCTGGAAAACCTAAGAAATTAAGAATGAGGGAAAAAAATGAACCCCAAAATCCACACAAGTTGAAGAGAAAGCACACCACAACCACTTGTAGCACCTGTGGGAAGCTTGGACATAACAGAAGGAGCTGCAAAGGACAACCTATGGTTTGCAAAAGTAGGAGGGAAACAATGCCTGTAAGTTCAAACTTTATTTTCTCTTCCATTTTTGTTTTGTTTTGTTTTTTTAAATATAAGTTTTGATAGTAATAAAGAATATGCAGGCTAGTATGAACACTGACAGCAACACTGCTGATGCAACTCCAATTAGTTCTCCAGTAGTAATGGGAAGCCAACAAAGTGCCAATTAGCCAACAATGAGTACTAGGACAAGAGCAGTGGCCACTTCTAGTGCCACTCAGCCAAGCTTGATCAACAAAGCAATACCAATTACTAATACTTGTGCCAGCCAACCAATTCAAGCAAACAAATCAAGTTCTCAACCCATGGAATCCCAACCAAGATCAACTTTTGCTGCTGGGAAGAGGAAATTTTTTTTTGCTTCTGGTAAGAGGAAAAGAACTGTTGCTGGATAGGGTGATGAGAAACATCAATGATCACTAATATCTTTTTGAATGCTTTTGGGTTGTGAGGGATGTTTACAGTTGTTTTTGGATTTTAACGTATGTGTTTGGATGATGACTATGTAATGGGTAGTTATTTTTGTTGATACTTTGGGATGACTATCATGTAATGAATGCTTATTAGGTTGTGTAATAGATATGTTTAATATATGAAATATTTTTGGTTTTGAATCTTTTGATTTAATGGATTGGTTTAATAATGATATCAAAATTGTGGTCATGTTTAACTTGGGTATCTGAGATTTTTTAGATTTTTTTTATAAAAAAAAATATTTAAATTAATTTAATAATGATATCAAAGTTGAGGTCATATTTGGCTTGAGTTTTTGAGATTTTTTTTTTAAAAAAAAGAAATTTGAAAATTGAACATTAATTTGATAAAAATAAATATAAAAAAATATTTTATGATTTTAAAAAATATTTTTACTCTTCAAAAATAATTATATAAAAATAATAAGTGCTTGAGTTTCTGAAATTATTATTATTGGCAAAACGACGACTTTGCCCTTGGCAAGTGTTGCACATGAGGAATTTCCATCCAAAAAACTAACGGAAGTTATCTATTGTCCTTGTTTGGAACAATGTTCAAAATTCAGGGTCAAATGTGTTACAATTGAAAAGTCAGGGATTAAAGTGACACAAGCCCCAAACTATAAGGACTAATGGTGTAATTCGCCCTTTATTTTATCTAGTAAAATCTCATATTTTATTTTATTGATACTTAATTCAATATTGATACAGATGCTTCAAGCAAAACTTTTATACCATCAAGATGAAAAGAAACATTTTGCTTTTGAACATTGTTGGTCAATCTTGCAAACAATATTAGGTAGCAAGATGTAACTCCTACGAATACGATGAAGTCAAGGATACATACACCATTTTCCCTTGATTCAGCCCCCGATTCCCCTATGGATAATTGCATTTCTCTTGAAGATGATACCAGTCCAAGTGTTGGTAACAATCCAACTGTTGGTGAGGGCAGTGTCTCTACAAAGGGTAAAAGGCCGATGGGTAGGAAATCTGCAAAAGAATTATTTCGGAGAAATCAAGTCATTGAAACTGAAGTCCAAAGAATGAGTACACAATTAGACATATTTAACCAACACCTTACTGAGAAAGAAAAGAAAAAAGAGGAAAGAGAAGAAAAAAGGATTCAAGTACTACAACAGATGAAAGAACTTGAGATATAAAAAACATGAGTTTGAGATGAGAAAGGAAGAACACCAAATAATGACTACGGGCATTTCTCATTTGGACCCTCAGATGAAAGTGTATTACATAATGCGAAAAAATGAGATTTTTGCCAAGTGGTCCTCAAATGTAAGCAGTCCAAATTTTTATTTCCCCCTACCTCCTGATGAATAATTACAGAATAGTGTATTTTTTAAATTTGCAATATCATTTATTTTTTGATGTAATTGTTAGACTTTATTTGCAATGTAATTTTATTTTATAATGAAATTTCATGTTTTTTTTTTTTTTTTTTTTTTTTGAGTATTTTGTACTTCACAATGTTATGTTATTTTTTCAATGTATAATGTTCACTAATTTATATTATAGTTTAATATTTTCAATAAAGTATAATGCAAAAAAATAAATACATTTTTTCAAATGAAGGCAATAAAAAGATAAAATACATTAGCTGATATTAAATGAAGATAATTTTATTATAATAAAAAGACATTACAATATAAATATATAATTTTTTTCAATTTTTCCAATTTTTCATTTTTATTTTATTTTTTATATCTGTCTAGTTGGGAATAATATAAATATATAATTTTTTTAACAAATAGGTAAAAAAATGTCACAAAAGACAAAAATAAACAAAAATAAAATCACAAAAAACTATATCCAAACAACACTTACAAACTTGGAGGGAAAGTTGGTTGAGATTTGTCAAAAATAACAAATGACCATTGGAGCACCATTGCTATAATTTGACAAAATAACACTATTCATTGCCAAATTATAACAATAGCAATATAGCAACCACCATTGGAGATGCTCTTACAAAGTCAATCTCATTTGAGCTAAGAATAACATTAAAGTTATGAACCTCCTTTGAGCTTTTGTTATTATATTCATCTTGTCTCATGGAATTGTAGTTGCTAGAAAAACTTCCATTTATTGTTATTGTCGGTGAAGTGTAGGTAATCAAATAGTTGTCACTGCTACCATCGAAATATTGCTGCCAAAGGGTTTTCAAGGTTTTGAGGGTGGATAGGTTTTGAAGGTAGAATTTGGAGAAGATAGAGGGATGGTGATGGGGTGAATGCTCTCATAAATCCTAACTCACAATATAGTGAATGTGTGGGCTTAATTGTGAGATGGGGTGTTCTACAATTATTTATGTCTTTTTTAGTAATTTTATTTGAGATTATTATTATAATAATAAATAAAAAATGAAAAATGAAAAATGAAAGGTTTAAAATAATTGATAAGGTGCTAATCTATTATAATTCCTTCAAAAAATTCAATGGAGCTCAGGAAAATGAGTGATTAATCTATTTTCGCAGAATACCCATATTGGGGCAACGAGGAGACTAATCAACCACAATACGATCTAAACCCAATATCAGAGGCATTAGATTCTCATATCATAAGAGTTTGAAATAATATTTATCTGAATGGTGTCAACTATGTAATGTTTCTTGGTGTTTTTACAAGAAAGAGATTTGGGTTTGGGGGTTGTAGGAGGAGAAATTAGATATTACTTGGGCTTATTTTGAGAAGTGGGTTAAAAGTCACTTCTCAACTTTTAGCCCACTTTTCTCTCTCACAAAAAAATAAATAAATAAAAAAAACTTTTAATTATCTTTCCAAAACACTCTTTAATAGGTCTGGCCTACAAAAAAAAAAGTGATTTGTCATTTTAATGACAGAAGAACATATAATCACTCTATTCTTATTTTCTAGACAAGATGATCATACAAGAGGTCTTCACACTTTCATCCCTAAAAATTTGTTCCCCTTATAAAGTGATATTTTTCTTATCAATAATGCGACATTTACCATCTTTCCCCTTATAAAGTGATGTTTTCTCATCAATAATGCAACACTTGCCATCTTTATATGCTACCTTTACTTCACCATCTTATATGTTAACACGCTATTTGTATATTGAGTTTCATCACTCATGTTTATTTCTAATAATATATTAACACATAAGGAGATACATTAAAGGTAGTATAAAAATATGGTAAGTGTAATATTACTCTATTCCTATTGGATGAAAATATATGGAGAAAAAATGTTATTTTTTTGGGCACTAAAAACATTAAGACGTGGCATTTGATATAAACATGACAATCCATCCGTGAAACAAATCTAACACAAAAAAGGATGGATCGTGATAGAAAATTCTAATTATTTATTAAGAAAATAAAAGAAAAGGACAAAAATTAGTAGGCAATATATATTGAAAAAGGATTGACAGTAACGTTGTGTTTGGTTGGAAAATTTGGAAAGGAAAAGGAAAAAAATATTTGAATGTAAATATATTTTATTTACATTTTACCTACCTTTTCTTTTTTTCCTTCCAAATTCTTTCCCAAATCTCCTAACCAAACACAACATAACAGAAATTTCTAACTATTTATTAAGAAAATTAAAAAATACAAAATTAGTAGGCAACATATACAGAGGATAGATAATCATTTCCATTTTGTTAGATATTTGTTTGGATTTTATATTTGCAGACAAATTTATGATTTAAATAAAAAATGATAAAAATTTCTACTCATTTCACCTTCTTTTTTTTTCTTTCTTTTTTTTTTCCAACACTTTTATATACAATACACCTAAATAAAACACAGAAGGACCTATAGAACACATGTGAGTCCCATAATAGTGTCCGAGTATTATATGATTCATTTTGTTAGTATTTTATGATTCGTTTCAATACTTTTTTTTTTTTTCTCTGTTACAAATTTAATATCCAGATAAGATCTATATTTGTTTGGAGTTGTGCTACCTATACAAAAAAATTAAAACATAAAATACATAAATGTGAAATAAAAAAATATTCACATTTAAAAAATATATATGATAAATCAATGGAAAATATTTTAAAATAACAACAGCAGTGGCAGTGTCTCTCTCACCTCTCTCTCTCTCTCTCTCTCACCTGACATGTTGGCATATTTTTATAATATATTTATGTGAATAATTAAAAAGATATGATTTTTAAGTTTAAATCAAAAGACATAATTATTGAGTTTAAACAAAAGGGTATGTTTTTTGGATTTAAATCATGGGTGTAATTATTGAATTTAAATCAAAAGGTTTGAATTTAAAAGATGTCACTTTTGAATTTAAAAGATACGACTTTTGATCTAAGGGATACAAACCCATGCCTATATAAAGTCATAATGGATTGAAAATTGGATAGAAATCATCCATATGAAATTCATAGGAAATTTATAGAATTTCTTTCTAACATTCATATTGTTATTTTTCTCTATACTTGGTAGATTAGAGAAATCTAAAAGTATTCGGGATCTGATTTCGTTCGTGCATAACGCAGTCAGAAATTAGTCTTTAGACTGGGTTTCATTGTATCTTGGAGGTGGATTCGTGGGTAACTCAATGTACACCATATTCGACAGAATTGGTGGAGTGAATATCGTCTTAAGGAAAATGACGTTATAACGCACCTTGAAACAATATTAATTATTTTCTATTCTATCTCTTTCCATCACATTTACCAAATTTGCACCAACAATCTTAAGACGATATTCTCAAAAAGATGGAAGAAAATAATTGTTTATATGGAAATACAATTAACAATAAAGTATTGATCTAATTTCAATATTTAGTAACATGTTAATTGAAGGAATTGGTTCGGAAACCGTTATATTTTCCCCTCTTTCTAATGTGGGACAAAATCTCCAAGCTTATTTCAAGCTTTCCCAGAAAAATAAGGAAGGTTTTGAAAACACCTAATCATGTGGTTCATCATAT